TCTGACATGTATGACCTTGACAAAGATGCTTCACCTTTAGACTCATTTTTATCACTTGGAAAGTAGAGCTGTTAGGGGAACTACACTGCACAGATTTGTTGAAGCATTGAATGTGCTGACAGCTGTGAAGTCAGTAGGATAATCCCAACTGAAGGGTCCCAATGATCACAAAAATACTTTTAATTTTTACATATTTTCTTTTATTTGAGAGACACATAGATGAGGCTCTCCCGTCTTTTAGTTAATTCCTGAAATTCCCACAAAGGCCAGGGTTGGGTCAATCCAAATACAGGTGCCCAGAGCTCAATGTAGATCTCCCACAGGCAGCAGGGATTCCCCTATTAAACCATCTCCTGCTGCCTCCCAGGATGTACATCAGGGGGAAGTAGGATCAGAAATGGAACTGGGACTGGATATTGGATGTGTCTCAAGTAGCATCTTGATTGCTGTGCCAATACCCACTTCAAAGTGATAAACATCATTAGTTAGCCGCACAGTTACAGCTTCCTCAAAAAAAGAAATAGAAGCATGGCGTCCTCCAGTATTCTTTCTGTCTCTTTTTTTTTCTGTTTATGTTTTATAGGAGCCCGTGGGAGTACCTCGTTGTGTGCGGTATTGCTAGGTAAACAGTATCAGTTTCCCAGCAGTTGGTGGTGGTGGTGGCTTTGGCGAGGATGCCATTTGGAGACGTGGGGGATCTTGGCAGGCCTGGTGGTGTTTGTGGTTGGAAACTGCCTTGGTGTAATCCTGGGTGAAAGTGATGCCTGGGGTTTTGGCTGATTTCTGACTTCAAGGAGGAGTGCTGGGGAAACCGCCGCTGTCTTGGGGCTGAGTGGGAAGAACCCAAAGGATCTCATTATGGATGGAGGAGTTTGCCTCTTGGAACTTCCCTCCGCAAGAGATTATTCCACACCATTTGAATTCCCTCTTTTCTAATCGGAATGATTTTGGCTGCTGGTGGAAATAATTAGAACATGCTGTGATATTTTTGGGCACGGTTACAGTTTTTTCTCCTCTTCTGAAATTAATAGAATGAGGATGTTAGAGCTGAGAGGGCCCTTGATGGGGGGGGAGGAGAATTGTCCCCCAGAGAGGAACAAGCATTGGGCTCTCGGGGAGTGGCCTGGTACTCTTATAGCAGCTAGGAATCAATGTGTTCAACCTTCAGGTCAACACAAGTAAACTGTTGTTATTCCCGGCTGTCTCCTCTCTGAAAAGCTTGAGATCAGGATTGTGTCAGATTTCTGGGTTTGATCGGATTTTTGGAACATGTGCATATACCCAATGAAATGTCATGATTTATTTTTGAAAGGTTTACATATTTATTTGAAAGGCAGAGTAACAAAGAGAGATGGTGTCAAAAGACAGATATTCCACTTGCTGCTTCACTCCCCATATGGCTGTAATAGTTAAGAGTGGACCAGGCCAAAGTCAGGAGTCAGAACTCTGTCCTGGTCTCCCATGAAAGTGGCAGGACCCCAAGAACCTGGGTGGTCATTCGATGCTGTCCCAGGTGCATTTGCATGGTGCTGGATTGGAACTAGAGCAGCTAGGAATCAAAATAACACTTTGATGCCAGTATCATAAGTGGTGTTTTAACTTGTGCCACAATGCTAGCCCCAAGATAGCTTTTAAGACATTTTTTTTTTCCATTTATGTTTCATTTGATGTGTCATTCCATAAATGGCTGCAACAAGTAGAGCTGGACTGGTCTGAAGCCAGGAACATGGAGTTTCTTCTGGATCTCCCACATGGGTATAGGGGCCCAAGGCCTTGGGCCATCTTCCACTGTTCTCTCAGACCAAAGGCAAGGAGCTGGATGGGAAATGGGGCAGTCAGGACATGAACTGGCACCCACATGGGATGCCAATGCCAGAGGCAGGCAGCACTTAGGATCCTAAGAAGTCACTAAGAGATGCATGACGGGGAGGGAGGGTTGTAGAAACCAGGGAAGATAAGCATTATTATTCCAAAGAGTGCTTATTCAGGTTCACTGCCGTCCCAGTTACCAGTGTCTTAGTAATAAGGCCATTTTCTTACCTTGATGTGTGAGAGGTGTTCCTCTCGAAAGAATCTTTTTGGCTTCCTATGTGCAGGAAAAATGGCAAGTATCCTTTCCTGCAGTTAAGATATCTTCAAGTGATTTCAGCTTGAAATAGTCAATATGGCAGTTTTGCATGTTTTCCCTTAACTGCTTCAGCAGCAATCAACTTGGAATTCTCATTGGCTTATCACAACAAGATTTATTTCTTGTTCATGAATCGTACGTATTCCGTCTGGGTCAAGATAGACAAGGCTTCTGCTTGTTGTCCTCGGAACAGCCACTCGGGGTACTGGGATGATGGAAACCTTACCATTTTGCAGCAAGCCCTTCAGGGTTCATGCTGTCCAGATTTTTATGGCAGGAAAAGTAATTCACACCCACTCCTTGCTTTCATCCTGAAAGGTTACAGGTTATTGGTCAGAATTGGCCACATGATCCTGTGTTACTACAAGATTGGAAACAAGGGGCAATACGTACCATATTCAATGAAAATTACCAGGAGGATACAGAAAAAGAAAAGACTAACCCATATCATGGCTGTCCGTGCACATGAAGGTCTGTAGTAGTTCACATGGAAAAAGCTGGTGAGAACTGAGGTCATGCAAGGCAGTCGGTGGTACTGGGTGCCACACTCTGCCAAGTATGTGGTGCCGCTTGCCACGATTGATACAGCCTCTGTCTACTGTCTTTGGATCTTGTCAGTCAGACTTACAGATTTCCCTCCCCCCCCCCCCCCGCAAAATCTCACATCTACATTTTTCTTTAGCCACTACATTTTTCTTTAACCATTCTTAGTTTACGTGCCATAATAAACTTAGGCAGCAGGCAGGGTGTAACCCATAGGCTTCTGTTTGTTGATTCCTACCACAAGCACATTTACAAAGACTCTGGAAGCATTTTCCAAAACTGCTGTATGAAGGAACAGTCCTTGCAGGAAAACAAAAGACCCTGTCTGACACTGCACACGCTGCAGGATACTCACATTGTATCTGAGCAAATGGCAGGTCCACCCGGCAAAGGACATGGGCCACAGAGCAGGTCTGTAAACATGGGAGAAAGCATTCATCGTCCTTCACGACAAAGTGGGGCTTTTGTAAATGTGGCAAAGGTCTATCTACAACCTCAATAAAACTGTCAGTGAAACTTTGGGAAAATAGACAGTGCTCTGTGCTGCTTGGGGAGGGATATCATTAGTGTCCCTGCTGATAAGAGTAGCTTGGCAAAATCTCCTTTGATTTGGTGTATAATTCCAAGTCTGGATATAGTTGCACATGTGTGAAACGATGCAGAAAGAATAATATTCACTGCATCATTGTCTTTGGTAGCCAGGAATTGAAAACTACATAAACATGTATCAACTGGAATGGTTAAATGAATTACAGGATAATTGATGTAATACTGTATCATCATTTAAGAAAAAATCTGTAGGATTTTTTTTTTGTGTGTGTTTGTTTTTTGAAAGGGGGAGAGAAAGAAAGGAGAGGGGTTTCTATTTGCTGCTTCACTCTCCAAGTGGACACAGCAGCTGGGTCCAGGCCGGGCCAAAGCCAGGAGCCTGGAACTCCAACCAAGTCTCCTTCATTGGGGGGGGGGGGGGCAGGAAAGCCTTCCCAGGTGCATTTGCAGGACACTGGGTTGGAAATGGAGCATCTGGAACTTGAGTTGGTGCTGTGATATCCATACTCTTTTTAAAATCTTTGTGAATCAGAATCACAGGCGTATGAATGCCTATTCTAAGAATAAATAAAAAGAAAATAAATACAGTGAATCTTAATGGCACTAGAAAGCCCTGCAGTATGGCATCATGGTTAATTGTATCTGATGATTTTTAGAGCAGTTTGTATTCTGTGAAATGCACTTTGAGTAATTCTTTTAGAAAATGTGGTCTCCTGATTGCCATTCTGCCCTCTTTGCTTTCTTCTATCAGTTACAGGTTTGGGTCTGGGTCTGTGAGAAGAAAGAACTGTGTGGGGCAGAATGAGTGATGGTATCACAATGACTTTTAATTGAAACGTACAGTTGTCCCCAGGTCACTTGGCACTCTACCTTGCTGAGGTTTGATTTATCCAGCCTCGGAGTGTGGGACAAGGGCCAGGATGGTCTGGGCCCCGAGGTGGCGGCTTTTGCTTCGACAATTCTACTTTTTAGCTGTAGGAGACTGTGTAAATATTGTCAGTTTCAATGTGTGCAGTGATGTGGATGGGTTGGTAAATACTGCTCTGGGCAAAATGTAGTCTTACGTTTAAAAACTGCGGTGTGCAAAAATAATTTCAAAAAAATAAGCAGTAAAGCTGACTTCACTAGGAAAAAAGTGTCTTTTGTGGAAAATCATCAGTTTATTTTTCACTAGGAACCTCATAATGAGAATGGTAGTGTCAGGGCACTTGTCTGGGCTGTGGGTTTGTGCAATGCCCCCAGAAGTTCCTCTATCAGCCTACTGGAAAAGCAGGGGGATATCACATTTTAGGAAATAATATTGGGTTCCCTCTAATTTATCAAGAAATAAGTCATCGAAAAAATCAGAGGGTGTGTGTCCTCTGTGGGTAAGGAAAGAAATCTTTCTGACCTGGCTGGGACTGTTGAGCCCCGAGGTCCTCAGAGAGCAATTGCAACTGCATACTGTGGTCGGCTGAGTGCAAGTGTGCTTCAGGCTGCCCTGTAAGAGAGGGTTTTGTTTGTTTGTTTAAGCATTAGTGACAAAATCAGCAATTTTAATGGCATTGCATATTGTATAATGTAAACGAGGACTCCGTCAAGTTCAGTTTTCATCTGAATTGTCACATCTTGTTCTGTTGCTTCCTGGTGGGTCTAATGACATTGATAAATGCTGTCCTCGATGTTTTCTGGAAAAGTAATTGAATTGGTGTGTGTGTGTGTAGTACTATCTGAAGAAATCTTAACACTGTTAAAATGCTTAAAAATAAAATGATCAATCCTCCCTTTGTTCCCTTGACAGGGTAATTGAAGCTATCTGCATAGGCTGGTTCACGGCGGAGTGCATCGTGAGGTTCCTCGTCTCCAAAAACAAGTGTGAGTTTGTCAAGAGACCCCTGAACATCATTGATTTGCTGGCAATCACGCCGTATTACATCTCCGTACTGATGACAGTGTTTACAGGCGAGAACTCTCAACTCCAGAGGGCTGGAGTCACCTTGAGGGTGCTTAGGATGATGCGGATTTTTTGGGTGATTAAGCTTGCCCGTCACTTCATTGGTCTTCAGACACTTGGTTTGACTCTCAAACGATGTTACCGGGAGATGGTTATGTTACTTGTCTTCATTTGCGTTGCCATGGCAATCTTTAGTGCACTTTCTCAGCTTCTCGAACATGGGTTGGACCTGGAAGCATCCAACAAGGACTTCGCCAGCATCCCTGCTGCCTGCTGGTGGGTGATTATCTCTATGACTACAGTTGGCTATGGAGATATGTATCCTATCACAATGCCTGGAAGAATTCTTGGAGGAGTTTGTGTTGTCAGTGGAATTGTCCTATTGGCATTACCTATCACTTTTATCTACCACAGCTTTGTGCAGTGTTACCATGAGCTCAAGTTTAGATCAGCTAGATATAGCAGGAGCCTCTCTGCTGAGTTCCTGAATTAATGCATCGCAAATCAGTCCTTGCATACCCGTGGTTTGATGGGAAAGAGTTGATGCTGCTTCATATTCATGTGTTTCTTGCTGGTTGAGCACTGCAGTGGCATTGTCACCATCTTGGTAGGGCAGAAACAGTCCTTCCTAGCTGAAGAGATAAAACTGTTTACATCTTGCGGACTAAATGGCATTGAGACCGCAAAGGAAGGATAGTGACCCCTCGAGTAACCTTGAAGATTTCATTTGTGTAGACCTGATTTGTCTCTTCCTTGCCTTGAACAGTTACCTTTGTTTTTTGAAAGCACATTCTTTAAACATTTTTGAGAAGGCAGGTACTCTATTGCAAACGCTTTTCCATCTTCTGAATTCAGAAGAAGCTTGGAACTTACAGTGTTATATTTTTTTGAGAGTAACATTTTCATTTCTAAATGTTTTATAATTTCTCATATCAATGTCAGAAGTATTCTGGAAACATATGTCACATGCAGGAACTGTTGAGCAAATACTTAAAAATTTTTGGCTAAAATTGAAACTGTATAATGGAGCTAGACACAAGCGACAGTGCTATTTGAGAAACTTTTCCAGTGTACTTCTTTACCCCACTCTGTCTTCATGTTCACCTCTGCGCAGCTTCATGGAAGCTTGGCTGTGTCCTCTCTGTTGTACTTTGAATTTCTTTTATTGCTTTACTGAAATGATTCAAAGAATGTATGTAATAAGAATCAAGAGGATTTTGTGTTATTTAACATTTCACTGAATAATTTTCACCTTCATAGCTGTTATTTGCTGTTAATTGTCCTGACATTTAGATGTCCAAACAAAAATATTTCTACCGTAAACATGAAAATAGAAAAAGTTTGATGTTGCTCAAGATTATATGCCATATTTATCCTCCTCTGCTCTTAACTTTTGCCCCAAACACCATGAATTTAAAAAGACATCTAAGATGAAAGCATATTCATGTAGCCTTTTTGATACCAAAGTCATACTTATGTGTTATCACTGGAGTATCTTTAAAAAAGGAAGTAGATATTATTGTACTCTTAGTTCCTGTGTAGTTCAGTCAATTTTAAGTCAGCTAAAAGCAGCAAAGACATAGTTATTTGATCTTCACCATTATGAATCACTTCTACAACAAAAGCCTTCTTGAAACAATATTGGGTAATATGCCATTTTAATCTAGTGATGTTATTGGGACCGGAGAGTATAAAACCAATGGTTGTTTCATGCTAATTTAGTCAGAATGAATTTACAATTTTTGCTTTTCAACCAATTGATATCAAACAGTCATGTATAAGCACAAAAAATTAAAGCTATAGATTCATGAATCATTTAGGGTATAACCTGTAATTTATCAAGGGTATAAGAAAGAAGCTGGGCAGGGGTGGGTAGAACAAGGGGAACCCAGATCTGTTTATTAAAGAGAAGCTTACCCTTAGAGTATTAGCCAGCCTTTAGTTCAGACCTGGGGCAAAGAAGGATGCAGTTACGAAGGAGCTGGGGCTCAAACCTGGACCTCCAGAAAACATAGCCCAGCATCTAATCCTTCATATGCCTCTGGGATCTGAGAAAGCCTGGGGAAGCTGCACTTCTTTGCCATTATCATTGCTGAGATAATAACAACAAAACCATTTCCTTTCGCCTAATTTCCTTTCCAGCAATTATGTGATATTTTGGCCATTAAAGATCTCACTCCATTTTCCCTACTCCTTTCCACTGTTAATGATACTTTTTATATAGTCAGAATAAATTGTTATTTATTGTATATTTATTGTATTTTACTATAATTGAATTAAATGGCATGGATTTATTTTTTTCTTTCTTATTTGGATTAAGGCTTTGTGATTCATGCAAATAATATGCAGATGGTAATATCGCTATGATGTTAATAATAAAAATGTAACCATCAATTTTACCAGGACTGGGACCTCTTGATGTGAATGTGTTTTTATCTTCCAAGGTAAATCCTAACTATTTTGAAGCTGGAGTTCTTTCTCATGTACCATGCCTTCACATCCCCACAGAGTGTGCTACACACAAAGTTTTAATTAATTTAGGGGAAGAAACTTCCATGAGAAGAGCCCAGGAGAAGCACATATCTAGACATATCCATGCATAGCCACACATATGTGAATGTGCCTGTGGACTTTGAGCTGTCTTTAGGTAATGTGAGAAACTTCTTGTTTTTTGTCAGACTAACTACAGGGCCACAATAAGCATGTTGGAGAGATGCTGATGACAGCTTAGTGGACTGTGTCTCAAGGAGGAGGCTGGGAATTTGCTCAGAAAGTCCGTTTTGTCTTTCTGAATGTTGTAGCTGCTTGGGATGAGAAGCATTTTCTTGTAACTGTCCCTGAAGGTTTCCACTTTCAAAAAAATCGCTTAGTAACATTTCTTTTTATTTCTCTAAAAGTTATTTACTTTTTTTATTTAGGAAATATGGTTATTTTTTTCAAGGTTGATTTATTTATTTGAAAGGTAATGCTGCAGAGACAGAGAGAAAGAGAGGGACTCCATTTGACAGTTGTTCCCCAAATGATCACAACAACCAGAGGTAGCATAGTCAGGTTCCGGGATCCAGGAGCTCCTTGTGAGCGGGTGGCACAGGCACAAACACTGCGACCATCCTTTACTGCTTTCACAGGCACATTAGCAAGGAGCTGGTTTGGAATTAGAGCACCCGGAAATAAAATTGGTTGCCCCTATGAGATGCGTCACAGACTGTGGCTTAATCCACTGTGCCACAACACTGGTGCCTAAAGCGGTATTTGTCCCCAGACAACTTCAATAGCTAGAGCTGAGCCAATTCAAAGCTAGGAGCCTGGGCTTTCTTCTAGGTCTCCCCTTTGGGTGCAGGGGCCCAAGAACTTGGAGCCATCTTTGTGCAGCTCTCTTAGCAGAGAGGTGGATGGAAAGTGGAACAGCTCAGATTCCAACCAGCACCATTTGGGATGCTGGTGCCACTGACTGAAGTTCAGCCTGCATTGCCACAGCACTGGCTCCACAATACTTGATATGGGATGAAAGCGTCTTAAGTGCTAGGCCAAATACCTGCCCCATTAGTTGTGCTTTTACACCATTTCTCGTAATTTCATTCTTTGTGCTAGAAATGCTTCCATTGGGATCTGTGTCAACACCAGTGAGATTTTATCTGAAATTAGAATACCCAAAGTAGAAAGAGGAAGCTGAATTTTTGCTGTTTTTACCACATGTGGGCTTACATGACGTGACTTTATATGTAACTTGCTTTGTCTCTCTAAAATGGGATTTGTGGTTATGACTTATTTTAAAGGACATATTATAAAAAAAAACACGTTTTTCTCATGCTTTGTTTTTATTGTAGATTGCTGATTTAAGTAATTGCATTTACTTTGAGGGTTAGAGGTTACTAGTAGGACCTGGCGTGGTAGCATAGCAGCTTAAGTCCTTGCCCTGCACATGCCAGGATCCCATATAAGTGCCAGTTCTAATCCCAGCAGCCCTGCTTCCCATCCAGCTCCTTGTTTGTAGCTTGGGAAAGCAATAGAAGATGGCCCAAATCCTTGGGACCCTTGCACCCACATGGGAAACCCGGAAGAGGTTCCAGGTTCCTGGCTTCATATTGGCGCAGCTCCAGCTGTTGCAGCCATTTGGGGAGTGAATCAACAAATGGAAGATCTTCTCAAGCTCTCCTTTTCTCTGTATATCTGACTTTCCAATTAAAGAAAAATCTTTAAAAAAAATAGTTACTAGTAGTCACACATTTGTAGGTTCCGTTTTTGTGTGTGGTTTATTCATTTTATTTGAGTTAGAAAAATGGAGAGAGCAAGATAGCAAGCTTCTATTTGCTGGTATGCTCCTCAGACAGCTTCAAAGGCCAGGGCTGTGCCAGGCTCAAGCCAAAAGCCGGGAACTCTGTCCAGTCACCTTCACGAAGTGCACAGGCCATCTTCTGCTGCTTTCCTTGGTGTATTAGCAGGGAGCCAGATGCAAAGTGGAACAGCTGAGACTCAGATTTGCATCCCTGTGGGATGGCCGTGTTTGTTACTTGGCAAAGCTCAATTCACCGTGCCACAACACTGCCCTCTGTAGGTTCTTAACAAGTAGTAAAATGCATTCTCTCACAGTGTCTGTCATCAATATAACATTTCTTCTCCTAAACTCCTGCCCATGTGTCTTACCTAGATTTTCTGTGATCTTGGAGAGGCAGCAATGAGATTGAATTTTGGTGTTGGAAGAATTTTCTTTCTTGGTTTAATGCTATCTAGAAGCAGCTTATTTTATCTTCTTTTCTATAGAGAAATGACAAAAAAAAAAAAGAAAGAAAGAAAAACCTGAAAACCAGCTGTGCACTGTTGAACTCTGCCAAGGCACACCCAAGGCCTGACCTCAGCTGGGTGTTGTCAGGGTCCTCTGGCTTTATCGGTGTATATTCATTTATGATATGGATACATTATCCTACTAGGTGTGGTCCCATATCTTACAGTATCCTCACAACTGTGGAACTAATGTAGTCCTGGAAGCCTTTTGGTAGACTCTACCCTTTGTGTACACCCTTTGTCCCCTACAGTTGCTAGCGCCAGGGGACTCTGCTCCTATCTGGTTCTGATGTAGCCATGGTCACTCTAAATGTTCAGTTCTGGCCTTCAGGAACCCAATTTCCAGACTTTTGGTTCAGTACTTTTAGATATACTTTTTTTTTCTTTTTTTACATCAAATGGCTTGAAAGATTTCTAAAAATATTCCCTTTGGTGCTTTGGTCCTCCCCTCCCCCTTGCAAAGTCTGATTAAAAAGCAAATGTTGCTTTTAGAAGTCTTACAAGTCAGAAAGGAGGACATTAGATCAGTGCATAGAAAAATCAGCTGTCTATTGATTTTTTTTAAAGATTTATTTATTTTTATTGGAAAGGCAGATATACAGAAAGGAGAAGAGACAGAGAGGAAGATCTTCTGTCTGATGATTCACTCCCCAAGTGACTGCAATGGCCGGTGCTGCATCCATCTGAAGCCGGGAGCCAGGAGAATCTTCT